AAAAAATATTTTTATAACGAATTATCTGGAGAAAATATTAGCGATGATGATTATGATCATGCAAAATTAGTTTGGAAAAAATTTCGTTGTAAAAATTTTAAAGATTATTTAAAATTATATCAATATGTTGACACTTTATTACTAGCTGATATATTCCAAAATTTTAGAAAATTAAGTTTAAAATATTATAATTTAGATCCAGTATATTTCATAACAGCTCCAGACTTAACATGGAATTGTGGATTAAAAATGACAAAAATTCAACTCGAATTATTTAAAGATATTAATATGTACCTTTTTATTGAACAAGCAATTCGCGGCGGAATTAGCCTAACTTCGAAAAGATTCGCGAGGGCCAACAATCCTCTAATTCCAGAAACCTATGATAAAAATCAACGACATAACTATATTATTTCGATAGATGCTAATAATCTCTACGGATTTGTGATGAGTTCTTATTTACCTGTAAATAATTTCAGATGGTTATCTGAGGATGAGATAAATGCTTTAGACATTTGTAATATTCCCGATAGGAATAATATAGGCTATATTTTAGAGGTTGATTTAAATTATCCACCAAATGTTCATGACCGCCATAATGACTTACCATTAGCTCCTAATCATACATATATTCCATTCGATTTATTATCAAATTATCAAAAATCGGTATTAACTAAATTAAATTTAAAATATAATAATAATAATAAGAAATTAATTCCAACTTTGTTTGATAAACAAAATTATGTAATTCATTATAGAAATTTAAAATTTTATTTAGAAGAGGGTTTAATATTAACTAAAATTCATCGAGTGCTTGCATTTAATCAAGAACCGTGGCTTAGAGATTATGTATTGTTTAATAATAAAAAACGGCAGGAATCAACGAATGATTTCGATAGAAGTTTTTTCAAGTTAATGAATAATAGTTTTTTTGGTAAGACGTGTCAGAACGTACGCAAGCGTTTAAATTTGAAAACAGCCATGACTGAAAATCAATGTCGAAAGTATTTATCTCACTCAGCTCTCGAAAATTTCCAAATTATTAATGATAATCTCACGATTTTTAAAATGAAAAAAATTAACTTATGTTTGGATAAACCAATTTATATAGGATTTTGTGTATTAGAATTAAGTAAATTGCATATGTATCAAACATTTTATAAAATATTTAAAAATAAATATGGTGAAAATGTGAATTTGTTATATACAGATACCGATTCGCTAACGCTTCAAATTTATACGAATAATTTATATAACGACTTTAAATCATTTCCAGATATTTTTGATTTCAGCAACTACCCTAACACACATGAATTATTTGATGCAAAAATAAAAATAAGCTAGGATATTTTAAAGATGAGATGGCATCTAAACCTATAGTAGAATTTTGTCCATTAAAACCAAAAATGTATTCGTATATTTTTAATAATCAAAATAAAAAACTGCTAAAGGAATTAAAAAATCTGTTGTTAAAACCTTTAATCATGAGAAATATAAAGAAGTTCTTTTTAATACCGAGCTATTGAGACATCAGCAGTATGGTATTAAAAGTAAAAACCATGTTGTAACAACATATCTTCAGAATAAAATATTTCTTTCACCGTTTTATGACAAAAAATTTATTTCTGATAATGGTATAAATGTGATATCGTTCGGACATTATAATTTTTATATTTAAATTCTTCCAGATTCTCTGATATCATCTTCCCCCAATACGGTTACATATTATTGTACAAGAGGAAACGAAATTAAAAAACTTGTTTAATACATGGTGTTTCGAGTAAAACATATCGTTGTTTAAAACAAGCTGTAAATAAAGCTGGATTATTTAAATTACCAAATAATAAGAAATACTTTTGTAAATTTTTTGTATTGACTAACCAAATAACTATGATGTTATGTAATAATAATTTTATAAAATGTAGTTGTTCTAACTGTAATCGTACTTTTTAAAAATGTTGTAACCATGTTTATATATAATAAAACTATATCCTAATACAGAGTTTTTTTTATAGAATTCAAACACATTACACCACTCGAATGGGAAAAGTTTTCGAGTTTACCGATGGACGAAAATAATATCAAACGTTTTAAAAACTATATTAAATGGGGAATTATAAGCCAAAAAACTGATTTAAGCAGAGACTTCATTTCTGAATTTGCTGATAATTTAAACTGGGAGCTAATATGGAAAAATTATATATTNTAAACGATATAATCGTATTTTCTGATGACTGTAATGCCAGATTTTTATTAAAACAACGTGATTATATTAAAAAAGCTGCGATTACGATTTTTAAGCTTAGTGCTTAACATAATCCCTCTTGAATCATTCCTATCACCCCCCCAATAAATCATAAAACGGCGCAGTCCATTTTAAACCAATGGGAGCACAGGTAGAAATGATTGACAGGTGAAATGACGTCACTTACGTGACGTGACGTCACGTCACGATGAGGAAAACCATTTTGCACTCGACAGTACATTCTATCCTTCTACCATGATCGTGATTTGCAGAAGTTTGTGGACATAATGAATAAATACATTTGGTATGATGATATGGCATCACAGTACCTGCTCCAATACATCAGACAATAACTCAGCCACTCTGGCAAAATAGACTTATGTAACAACTGATTGGCTTGGCTTTTAACTTTCTACATATACAAGTGTACATATATATATATAGATATATATATATAGATATATATATATATATATAAGTTTTATATATATATATATATGTATCGCGATATTTCTAAATCATTGATAAAGAAAAAAACTTACATTCTGTTTTTAAAAAAAGGTCCGTGTGTGACGAGATGGTGAAAAAAGAAGTAAGTCTATGAACAAAAATATTGAATAGATGATGGAATGCAGCGAGGGTGCTTTCGGTAGATTAATTAAAGAATGCAGTCCCAAAGCTTAACTTCAGGGGACTGTTTCGGGGGTGTAGTAGAGAAAGATTTTTGTATTATCTACAAATTAGAAATAAGTCTATGAACAAAAAATATTGAATAGATGATGGAATGCAGTTTACTTCAGGGCTGCTTTTGGGTAATTATTTAAAGAAAGCAGTCCCACAACTTACTTCAGGGGGTCGTTTTAGGGTGTAATAGAAAAATATTTCTCCCCAATAATTCTGTTAAGAAATATATTATCACAGTTTGTTTTTCTATACTCGCGATATTAGTAACATCATTGATGATATAATGAAAAAAATATATATAATGAAAAAAAAAACTTAAATAAAATTCGATGAAGAAGAAAATTATATCAATTTTAAAAATAGTTAAATCTTATAAAAACCAATCATATTTTCTTTAAAAACTAGCAACCAGTCGTATATTATCTACAGAGATCAGTAAAATTAACGAAATTAATTAAAAAACGCGGTCCAATAATTCGGTTATATAAGAAATATATTACCATAATTTGCTTGCGTATATTGTATATTCGCAATATCAATCACATGTTCGTTAAAAACTAACAGCCAATCATATTTTTCTTTAAGAACAAATCGTTCTTTTAAATTCAAATCGTATATTATCTGCAGATAAAAATAGTAACATTTTCTCTGTTACCGCTACATCTGACGATAAGGCGGGAAGTTCAAACAAAGAGATAGCATGGGTGTACACGAGTAGGTTAAGGGTATGACTGAAAGAGGGTGCATCGAATTTTTAAAAGTTGTGTTATCGTTTTGTATTATTAAATTCCGTTTTGTATTATTAAACTCTTATACAAAATAAATATAATCTATACTGTATCAGTCTTTATTTCGATATAATTCAAAAAACTTTTTTTAATATTAAATTTATATACTAAAAACATTTTTTTAATATTAAATTTATATACTAATTAATACTAATTCATTTTTATAACCCAAAGTGTATCGATTGTATACTACTCATTTTCCAATGCCGCTGAGCTCACATTTTTATGGGTTCAGCAGAGTAAGCTTAAATTCTGATAATTATTGTATTACATCTATGTTTTTTCCAACAATGATGGCTATAGATGCAAACACCTTCAGAAAGAAATAAAAAAATTATAGGAATTCTTATGTAAAAATATAGAAAAACTGTATTGAAAAAATTGAAGAATTATATGTCATTATTGATTGTGAAAATAACAATAATTCCGTTGAATAACAGTAATTCTATTGTATGATGGTAATTCTATTGAATAAAACAATTTTATTCTATTACGATAAAACATTTATAAGCAAAAATATTGAAATTCCTTAAAGTACAGCTCAGCAAAAGTTAGAAAAAAGCTTATAAATTAAAATAAAAATTTATAAACAATATAATTACAAATACTAAATTTTAATGTTCAATATTCTGTATGAAAAAGTTATCGTAATGTAAATAAAGCTATTTTATGCTACAAATTTAAATAAAAGTTTTCAGTATTGTAACTATAAAATTGAGAAACGTTCATAAATATTTTACTGGCAAATGTTTCATTTTATTACTAATTTACTTGCATGAGATTTTGTGTTCGCTAAATACAAGAAATAATTTGCGTCCTAACTTTCATAACAATTTTTTTTTCTTTTTATTAACTCTTTTACACAAAATTATTCATGTTAAGTTTTTGTTTTAGAATATTTAAATTTTTTTATCGTTTTTCAGATTTTAGTTGCTTTTAAGCAATTAAACATTCAGTTTAATTACTTACACACTGTCTGAGTTTAAGAAATTATTAAACACAGAGAATTTGTCAAAGAAAAACTTATATTTTACGAGCAATTATTTATTGTGACATTGTCACCATGCCAAACTGTAATTTTTCGTAACATCAGTCTAAATTTTTAGTAGTTTTTCGTGTCTGTATGTCATACTTACCCTGTAATGAATATAGAACAGAAATCACGTTATTTCAATTGAAATTTTCCTCTGAAAGCAGTTAATAGATGACTAGCACGACATTATTGTTAAAGAAAGTATGATGTACAAAGGCAATCCACTACTAACTTGAGATGGAAAGCATATATATTAAATTAATTTAATTTAAAATATTATCAAAAATTGCAGCTTGCAATTCTTACGATGACACAAGAAATAATTGCTCGTTCTTAAATATATTTTAAGTATATCTAATAAAAGAATTGCTGAGGGGTGAGAGATTATTTATTAATTTGATTAAGAATAAAAAAGTAAAAAAATACAGTATAGTAAAATGAATGTATCAATAATTTCTACTACATAAAAGGTTTCTGTTTTAGAAAATTGCTTCATTTATTAGTACATAATAAGAAAAACAATGAGTCAAAATTTTTATATTAATAATTTTAATACCAATTTTTCAGTATTGGATTCTTTAGGGAAACCGTCGGGAATTTTCAGTGGAAAGACATGGTTTCATGGAGATTATGATCAATGCTTGAATATTGAAGTTAGAAATCATAAAATAGGAAAAGATGATAAAAGAATAAACACAATTTATGGAAAATTTTGTTCATTATCTGTTGGATATAATTCATATAAATTTAGTGATGTGCCAGAAGATATTCAAAATACAAAATACTTTAGAATGGTTGAAGATATTTTCGTAAGTAATATAATCGACAATGTCAAATTATACAGGCCAACTAATATGTTTTACTATATTACAGCAACCATTTCCATTGAATAAATTGATTGAAATATTTAGTTTTAAGAAAGTAGCATTTCGTTTGGATATTTGTATACTGAGTAGATGTAACCGACAAGATGTAGAAAATATTCTTCAATGGGGTAAGTTAATAATAAAATTAATATCTTAGATATTATCCAGATACCTTTTTTCCTATAATTTTATAATTAGTAAGACGTTTATTCTCACAGTTAGAAAATTATTATTCATTTCGCTGCAATTTGAAAAAGATTTTAGACCTATATATTTCTACTGTCTGTCCTTCATTAATAATATCAAGAATAGTGTTAAATAGATGAAAGTCATGACAAAGATTGGAAAATTTTTTGGAAGGAGACCACGACTACTCTGGCATGGAGGAAGTAAAGAAGCTTTGAATTGAAATCGTACGATTTCAATTCAAAATTTTTTCCAGAATGGAGAAAAGTTTGAAATTGAAATCATGTTACTAATAAAATTTGATACTAAATGGAAAAAATTACTGTAATATAATAAAATATATATAATACATGATCGGCTTCACTCTGTTGTCATCTAAATTATTTAATTATTTAAGTTTTTGTGGTTTTCACAGATATGTTATAAAATACAGTCTTGTGGTCGAGGGTATAAAGTTACATATCTCAATCATTTTTACATTTATAACTTTGAAACTTTTTACTCGATCCTAGAAAGGGCAAGTTACTGGTTTACTCCTTGAGAGAACGTACCATAACACTAATTTTCGTATGAAAGCTGTAGATGGCCAAAGTGGTAAAGGCACAAATGTGCTAATTTGTGGAACTTGAGAACAAATCAGAGTTAGTAAACACTTGCTATCTTTTATTCTTACACATCGGGCTCGTACGTCACCACTCATTTTCCTATTTTGAGTCTGACTGAAGTCGAGATGGATCTAGGTAAATTAATGCCTACGGACAGACAGCTTTTTCGATTATAAAGATATCATTTATAATATGTTTTGATATTGTATAATCGTTACTTTGCAGCTGCAAATATGATACTATTAGTATAATCTGTACTGTTTAAATTTAAATATATTATTGTATTGAAAGATTGCATGTCTAAGGTAATATTTCAAGCAAATTGAGTAATTTGCCAATATCGCGTAAGAACTATTCTTAAAATTCACACACGATATTATACATAATATTTAGCATAGCAAATTTCAAATTAAAAATAGTTAGCAATTATTTTATCGTTTTTATAATCTGTGTGATTATTGATGTGTTTTAGCATTCAGAGATCCTTACAGGGCAAATGTAAACTTCTGCAAAGTAAAAGACCAGAAGATTACAATTCATACAACTCAAATAATTTGTATGTAAGTGTCTATAATATTTTATTCTCCTGACTAAATAGAAAATGAAACTTACAAGATATTTTTGAAATATTTTTATTATATATTTTATAAAAATAAATTTATTAATATTCTTTAAACGTGTAACTAATTAATTACGATTTTCTTATGAATATTTAAAATTTAATCTGATATTAAGGTAATAATTTAGCTTATAGATGACAAATTTACAAATAGTTTCCTTACTGTACTGGCTTGATTAAATGTTCTAAAGAAACTCGTTGTCGGTCCTCCAGGAAAACGTGGCTTTTAATGAGAATTTCGCCACTATTCGAGTGATAATCAAGTTGAATGTAAGCAACGGGTGGCGCGAGAAATTTTTCGGTTTTATTCTCACTTCTTTAACACAACAGACAAATTACGCATAAAAGGTTTTCCCAAAGTTTAGTATATTGCTCTTGTATTGCTGCATAACCTAATTTCCATCAATACAAGTAATTTCTCTAATGTGAAATTATGAAAAGATTTCTAAAAATTTGCCTACAAATTAGGAAAATAATATTCATTCGTAAAATACATGATAAATGTTTTAAACAAGATTATATAATTATATTACTAATGAAGTTTTACTTTATATTTTCAGAATTGCGATCAGCATCTTCATCACGTGGGTTATTGTTGCAACAATTCTTGAAACTCTATTTAAATTTAATATTATTAATGTATATTGCAATAAAGGTATTGTCATAATTAATGTCTAATTTCATATTTCTGGAAAATGAGATCACAGAAATTTTAGTGATAAAAGTTGTTTAATAGTGTAGGCTGAATTCTTTACTGATAATTATTGTATTTTCTATACTTAATGATGTAAAATATTTTACACTCTGCGTTATAAACTTTACGTCATCAATGTTGAGAATTTGTTTATGCTGAAAATTTTGACAATTTACAGCAATACTTTATCATATTTCACTATGCAATTATTTTAAATACTAAGTTAATAAGTACGTCGTTAGAAATACCTGCAATATGAAGTATCGTTTAAAAGTATTTATAATTTTCATATTATTAGTTTAATTTGCTTTACCCAATTTAATAGCTTATGTTTGTAATAATTTAAAGGTATAAAATTAGAAATTTTAAAGAAAAATAAAAGTTAGTTTGTCCTAAAAGAGATAAATTTAATGTTATTTCTGTAAGCATCCTTATCTAAATAAAATTTAAAAATGACAGTAAAAATCATATTTGCTATTATGAGTTTTTAATAATTTACATTAATAATATCGTTAATTAGATGTATTTTTAATTTCAATTATTATTATTAGTTTCCGAAAATGTTCGTTTTTTTTTTATTTTTAGGAGACTTTCTACACAGTTTTCTTGCAGTTTCGTTACATACATCAATCCAAAAGGTTTTTAATACCGACTTGAATGACAAGACGAGATTTTTTTGTGGAATTAAATGTTTACTTACCTACCCTGTTGTATTTGTTCATATACTGATACATGCGAAATTGGTATATACAGTAACAGGTAAGTAAAAATAAATTACAGTATAAATTTTGTAGATAATTTCTAATAATTATTGGGCTGCAATTTGAAAAAATTTGTATACCTTTAAATTTTTACCTTCTATCTGTCCTTCATTAATTTCGAGAACAGTGTTAGATAGATGATTTTCAGCACCATATATGGAAAACTCAGTAGCAGGAGGCCCCGATTAATTATAAACGAACTTTGCGGTCTAGCCCTAAATTTACGTGTTTTCAATTTAAAATTTTTCCTTGAATAGAGTTACAGAGATAACTAGCGTAACTGTGTTGTCATCAAGAAAAGTATGATGTACAGGAACAGGATACTACTAATTTGAGACCAAGAGAATATATTTCAAATTAAATAAATTAAGAATATGATTAAAAACCAGAAATACCACCATTATTTTTTCTTATTTTCAAGATCTTTATCAAAGGTTTAAAGTTCTTGCAGTATATTTTGTGTTAAAATTTTGTGGTAATCTGCATATGTTTTCATAGTTATTTTTATATTTTCCTAATTACATCTGTGTTTAGAGCTGTTATCATTTTTAATAAGTCTAAACACTTGATTCAGTTGGATAATAATTACGCCATATCGGGTTCGGTTATATAGCGTTTTTATTTTGACTTTTAAGATTTACTTTCGTCTTTCCTTAAAATAATTTTTTAATTAAAGTGTATTTTAATAAAATGTCATAACAGATGGCGCCACATTTACAGTTTTAAATGTTACTGAGAAAGTTAAGCAACTGGTTGCNGTTTTTTTTTATAGAATTCAAACACATTACACCACTTGAATGGGAGAAATTCTCGAGTTTACCGATGGACAAGAATAATATCAGACGTTTTAAAAACTATATTAAATGGGAGATTATAAGCCAAAAAACTGATTTAAGCCGAGACTTCATTTCCGAATTCGCGGATAATTTAAACTGGGAACTAATATAGAAAAATTATATATTTACTACTACGGCAGTCTGTTGGTTGTAGCTTTACTACTACGTTTATCGAAAAACATATTAAACATGCAAAATAGAATATAATTTCAGAACACCAATTATTAGATGAAGAATTCATGGATAAGTTTTCGGACTATCTTAAATTAATTGGGATAAAATAGCAAAATTCCAACTTTTCTCTGATAATTTTATTAAGAAATATATTGATAAATTAAATATGAGAATAGTTTTAAAATATCAGCGATTAAAAACCGATACTCTGCGGGAATTACAAGATTTTCTCCACTGGGATTTGGTTTCTCGTTATCAAATACTGAACGAAGATTTTATTCACGATTTTAAATACCATTTTTTCTGGTGTTATATTATTAAATATCAGAAACTAGATCATAAATATATTGCTGACAACTCTCACAGTTTGTTAGTCTACATACTTCAGGATATTAGTAACATAGTTGATGATATAATGGAAAAATTAAATAAATTCGATGAAGAAGAAGAAGAAGATTAAAATCTGTAACATATCGATTTTTAAAAGAAATAAAAAAGTTAAGAGTCAATTGTTTTTTTTTTTTTTA